TCAGCTCTCATTCACGCCTCTGTCATGTACATTCATGAATATTGAAATGGCAACCCCCTCAAGTAAAGCCTGGCCTGTCTGAAGATGTTAGGAGCAGTGCACACACCACGCATGTCCTTCTCTAACAATAAGACACTGGAGAACTGTTTGAGAGCTGCAGTGAACAGCTATAGACTGCCAGTCCATTATCGTGGCTATACGGTTAGTGTCAGACAGACAGTTCAGTGACCTCTGTTGGTAAATCTGTAAGATGGGGTCAGGTGGAATGAGGGATTCAGTTTGCTGCAGAGTGGAGTATTTTATATATCCTTCTGTTTAAATATGAATGTATTCAATGCTTTCAGGGGAAAGTGAGGACAGTGGCATAGCAATTAAAAAGAGAACAATATACAGCCAATATATAGTTTGTTATAATGTCCTAAACTGCATGAAACAAAACAATAGTGTTTGGTTTAATATGCAGTTGTCAACCATCCTCCATATCCAACTTTGATTAGGCCGACTGTTTCAGAAACACTAATTATGGCTTGGATTGGAATAATATAGTCTTTTTCCAAGTTAAACAGAAAAGAAAGAGGAAAATGTTTTATACTTTTTCTCTAAAATCACCATTTGGCATCATACATATTGACCTCAAATGTGACCATAAAAGTGCACTATGTAACTTTTCATGTGGATATAGGCGAGTTTCAGCTGACGACATTGTTATTAAAAGCCCGCGTTGCATGCTGGGAAATATTTTGGTCGGAGGCAAGAAACAGGATAGTGGTCAAACACAGTGCGTAACCTCACGTATTTATCCCCGATAATGGTAAATTCCTGCTGCATTATCGGATGCACAAATAGAAGCACGGAAGATCGTAAACGAACAACAAACGTAGAAGATCCTAGCAAACAACAAGTCCAACAAGTTCAACAACACATCGAGACTCTTGTAGGTTTTCATCTTTTCTGCTGTGAATGGCCCAGCCGAGTCCACCAAGTCATTGTGGATATCGCCGAAGTGAATATTTGTCCAGGTAGTTGGTGATTCTGACCAGAAATTTGGTTTGGTCCACCTTTTGTGGGGGTTGAAAAGGGTGATTTGGCTCCATCGATGTTTATGACCAATTTCTGGTCAAATGGTCTTGGGTCCTCTGCCGTTAGAGTGGATAAATAACCGGGATCAATACCCTTTACGTGCTTTCTCGCGCCGTCCGTCATTGAATTAGTGTTTCTTGCCGCCGACCAAAATAATTCCCAGCATGCAACGCGCACTTTTTTCAACAATGAAACTCGCCTATTCCATCTATTTTTTTTTTTTTTTCAGCAGTTAAACAAAAAGATGCATTTGAATGTAATGCCATTGAATACATGCTAAATATATCTTCATAAAAGTGACTGGCAAAGCAATACCAGCTCTACAGAGACAAACAAATGCTCGATCCCAGTAAAGTCATACAGTGCACCGCTAACTTCCTCTGCATTTGACCCATCCTTCAGTGCTGGGCTTGGAAACTTATCCTCTATTTTATGTAGTAGATTTTTGCTTATGGAACAGTTTTATACAATGTACCCTGACGATAAAACCCCACCAACATTAAACTGAAGATAAAAAAGAGTGAAGAGATGCTGACTTACTTGTACTTACACTAAATTCATCTCACTGGTGATGGGGAATAGATCATTCCAATGAATTAGTTCAAGTTCACGGCAACTAATTAATCAGTTAAAAAGGAAAGCGAATACAACCTAAAGCCATGTGTTTTCTCGTGATGAACAGGTCAGCACTTTGCATGGCAGCTGGGCCATTAACAGTGTGTGTTTGCGTGAGAAAGGATAAATAAGTGCACAATGAAGTACTCTGCGGGCTCTTGGAAGGAGACAGCTATACAAATGCAATCCATTAAGCATTTACAATTAACCTCTTTCGCACCGAGGCTATGACATGGCTTGTAGTGCTCCTAGAACATTTCTGTGATGCTTGCACTCATCGACACTCATTAAAACTCTGGGGACATTATCACATTTGAGTACCTGACCTTTCCATGAATAGTGCTTACAGATTGTGTATCCATTAACTTTTTGGATTTATCACCTGTTTATTGTTTCATTCATTCAAGAAAGCAACAACTGTATATACTGTTTGCTCAGGATGGGCTGTCTTATTTCTGCACTGTAACAAATTTCTGTAGTTTCTACAGTAACTTTTACAACTGCTTCTTGCTTTCACAAATTACATGTCATAACTGTAGATTGCAATGCATTGTGGGGAAAAATATTACAGTTAGTAAGAACTTTTTCTACAACGGCCTGTTGTAAATTAAAATGAGTTTGTGCTTTACTGTAGATGGGAGGATATTACATGTAAATGTTGTATTTTCAAATGTTTCTACACCGCACACATTCAGTTAAGAAGAGCAGAGACAAAGAGGAGCTCATCAGGATAATGCACTGGTCCATTCACTCCACAAAAGAGTAACTAACCTGTTTTTTATTGTTTGTTTGTTTGTTTTTAAGTAATTTTTATTTATTTTTTTCACCGTTGTAATACAGTTTGTAGGATAGCTTATTTGTTTGATTCTGTGTCTGTGTAAGTAGCCTAGCACTTAGACATAAACGTAGCCTATTAAACATAACAGAACCGCGCTGCAACGCGGGCTTTTCATAACAATGACGTCAGCTGAAACTCGCCTATAGGCCAATAATATTTGATACCGATGAGCTGTAGCTAAAATTTATATTATTAAAATTCAGATTTTTGTTGTAATACAGCAAGTTCTTGAGTCAAGTAAATAACAGAAATGATCAGGTTAAACATGTGTTAATTACCAAAACTACCAATGAATATGTTACAAATAAAGATGGTCAAAATGGGTATATTTCCTTTCATCTTAGCAAAAGGCTTTCAGGAAGTTATGTTTTACACCTGATGTACCTCACAGTACCATGTGCATCTAACCAAACATTATATTTTACATTTCTCTATCCAGTGTTGGGGAGTAACAGATTACATGTACCAGAGTTATGTAATCAGAGTACAAATTATGAGTAACTGTATTCAGTTACAGTTACTGTTTCAGTGAGTGGTAATTAGATTACAGTTACTTTGTTGAAATAAATGGATTACATGGCGGTATTTTCCTGTTTTCACATTTTGGGCTATATCCCTTTTTTTTTTTTTTTTTTTTTTTTTTTCTAAAACCAGATCTAAACCAGGTCTAAACCAGGACTAAATCAGGACTAAAACCAGGACTAAACCAGGACTAAAACCAGGCCTAAACCAGGGCTAAAACCAGATCTAAACTAGATCTAAACCAGGACTAAATTTAAATTTAATTTAACAGGACTAAACCATGCCGCGCGGACCATGTTTCCTCCTCTTCTATCAATAATATTTTTAATACGGTTAAATAAAGACCAGTCTTTTTATTTTCTTTTAGCAGATAAAAAATCTTATGTGAAGATTTCAGAGTCTTTGCTTCTCTACAGAAAATCAAGTAATCCAAAGTATTCAGATTACGTTACTCACTTTAAGTAATTTAATGGATTACGTTACAAACTACATTTTGGTGTGTGTAATCTGTAATCTGTAGGGGAATACATTTTAAAAGTAACCTTCCCAACACTGTCTCTATCTCTGGAGAACTGTAAACATATGCAAGTCAATAGTTAGTGGTTCATTGGCTATTTGTTCCAACGTAGCCATAAGGTTTTTACTTCATGTCATGGATGCATAGGTCCCTTACCATCTCACTGTGTGCCATAAACTACATTGACAAAACGTGCAAGATGATCAGTGTTGGTCTGAATCAATGCCGTCATCATAACTCTATGGGAGGAGGTGTTGAGTAAACGTATCGATTTATTTGCTTTTGATTAGACCACATGCCCTTAGGGACACGGACACCAACGGAGTAAAACCCACACGGACTAGAAAAAGGCTGCGATTTGATATGAATACACAGTGTTGGGAAGGTGACTTTTAAAATGTATTCCCCTACAGATTACAGATTACAAACACCAAAATGTAGTTTTTAACGGAATCCATTAAATTACTTAAAGTGAGTAACGTAATCTGAATACTTTGGATGACCTGGTTTGTTGTAGAGAAGCAAAGACGAGGATACTTAACCGTATAAAAAATATTATTGATAGAAGAGGAGGAGACATGTCCCTGCAGCATGGTTTAGTCCTGTTAAATCCTGTTTTAGTCCCGGTTTAGATCTAGTTTAGTCCTAGTTTTAGTCCTGGTTTAGTCCTGGTTTAGATCTAGTTTAGATCTGGTTTTAGTCCTGGTTTAATCTGGTTTAGACCTGGTTTTAGATCTAGTTTAGATCTGGTTTTAGTCCTGGTTTAGTCCTGGTTTAAATCTAGTTTAGACCTGGTTTTAGTCCTGGTTTAGTCCTGGTTTAGATCTAGTTTAGATCTGGTTTTAGTCCTGGTTTAGACCTGGTCTTAGTCCTGGTTTAGTCCTGGTTTAGATCTAGTTTAGACCTGGTCTTAGTCCTGGTTTAGATCTAGTTTAGACCTGGTCTTAGTCCTGGTTTAGATCTAGTTTAGATCTGGTTTTAGTCCTGGTTTAGACCTGGTTTAATTTCCAGCAATGTGTAGAATTATCAAAAAAAAAAAAAAAAAAAAGTAAAAAAAAAGTAAATAAAAATAAAAATAATGTGAAAACAGGAAAATACTGCCGTGTTATCCACTTATTTTAACAAAGTAACTGTAATCCAATTACCACTCACTGAAACAGTAACTGTAACCGATTACAGTTACTCATAATTTGTACTCTGATTACTCCGGTACATGTAATCTATTACTCCCCAACACTGTGAATACGTTGAAGTAAGTAGCCCGAGAAGACATCAGGGGAGGACACTACTAAAGCTACAAATATAGTGAATGAAAAGGAAGGGTTTGGAAAAAAAAAAAAAAAAAAAACGGGGGGCTGGCTGTTACTTCGGGGGGTGGAGTATTCCGGCCGACCCCTCCTATCCCTCTCTTTCCACTCCTCCGGGTGGAAATTCATCCTTCAGGCTCAGTGGCGGACATTAGAGAAGAGGACCGCTGGAGTATACGGACGTGTGCTTTGTTTAGTTGGAGTCTACATTAGTCTGTCTGTTGGGAAGGCGAACAAGCTGTGCCCTTTCAAAGCGACTTGGCGAACGGCTGGAAGTGGGCGCACTCGTGGCGTCTCCGCTGTCCTGCTCCACTCCTGACAACCCCGCTATGCTGAGTTCACTGCTGGCTGTACCGCTACACAGAATGCGGCTGTGACTACTTACCAGCTAACTTTGGAGCACCGAAAGACAGCCTGTCGCCAGCCAAGGGGCAATACAGGAGATTTGACACCGCGCAGAGAACCTATATTTGTCCGCGGTGCAAAAGGGAACGAGAATCTCCCCGCTGTCGCCACCTCCGCCACCAGTTTCCTTTACGAGAGAAGAGGATTTTAGCCTGACGAGAAGGGATATAGCGGACAACTGGAGATTAACGGTCAGTATAGTCTTTAATTAACCTTATTTGTTGATGTCTGGCGAGCGTGGTGCATTTGCTTGCCACGGGTGTTAAACGTCCCTCTTCGGTGCGTGGAAAGTGCTTCGCGCGCGGGGACATTTCACAATATAAACGACAAACGGAAGCAGCGTTTGTATATTGGAATACGCGTTTAGATCTTTTTGTTTTTTAGACTAGCATGGACTGGGGTGCTTGATGGCCCGATACATCCGGGGTTGTTTTGCGGGGCTTCTGGAGGTAATACCTACGCTGTGATTTGCAGTAGCAGCGTTGGAAAAGGTAGCTGTGGTCGAGGATATTTTTAGGCTCTGGCTGCGTTATTAGCTGGCTCGCTGGGCTACTTATCCCAGCCACTGCCTTCTCTGTAGACTGTCTGTCCTGCTCGATCGTGCCCCAGAGCTAACACATCTTGGATTCACCCAGTTCTTGTCCTCTCCTGTGCCGCGGCTGTCCTGTCCTTCTCCCGGTGCCACACAGCGCCTCACATTCGTCGAAGCCCCACAAGGCTCATTCCTCTGGCTTCAAAACGAAACAGGTGCATTTTAAAGCCAAGCCAGGGCAGGCTGAGCTCCAGGAAGCCTCAGTGAGAATGTCCCCTGTAATAACCAGCTTACAGACTATATTTCATAGCTCCAAGGAGTATTTTAAGCATCAAGTGAAACTCTTTAAATTGATAGAAAATGCCTCCAAGTGAACTCGAATTTGGAGGTCAGTCCCTCAAATCAGTTTAGCTACTTTTGTCTCTAGATTGAACACAACTTTAATTCCATGCACCCCTAGAAGCTGTAAGCCCTCTACACTCCATCACTTTCTCTTCTGCCTTGTGTGTGGGTGATTGGAACAGCCAGCCTAAATAAGGTTAACCTCTTTAGAGGTGAAGAGCGTACCAGGGATGTTTTTGCCCAGCTCCTCTTGATTCCTCTCACGTCTGCTTTGCCATGGAGACGTTTGACAGCCTGCCGTGGTCTGGGTATGTCTCCTTTGACCGAGGGACAAGACAAAAAATGAGTAACTGATGAGTGAGAGAGATGACAGGGGAAATTATGTCCTCCAATTCTGGGTGTATGGCTCTAATTAGTGCCAGCTATTTTAGTAACAGGGTTGTTGTTTGTTTGGAAGAGTTAAGAATAGTCTTTTGCTTTTTAGTTTTTTAATACCTAAATTTAAAATCACTATTGCCTTATACCATAGCCAACACTTGCCCACAAAAGCTCTGTTTTTGTGCACTATTGAGAGTTGCAATCTGACCTTTTGAAGTCCTCATATCTATTCAGTCCATGCTCAACTATTTCCTGCAAATGACTTCTTTGGCCTACATGCAGGCTTACAAGAAATCAGAGATTGTGAAGTTACAAAGCTTTTCAAATAACATTCCTTATAGTTTTGTCTGTTATATTTGTTACATGCTCAGCGTCGGCCTCCCATATAGCTCAAACAAATTAAGGACTCAGCTGTTAAGTAATTGGTAATTTGGAGGTTTTTGAGTGCTCCCATGGGTGCCATTCTTCTATGTCTACAGCTGATAGGAGACTTAGAAGGCCATCCATTTCTATAGGACCTCCAGTGGATTTAGACCAATAGCATCTCAGCACTCCATAGCTGACTCTATTCTTTTGTATTGAACTCTGCTCTGTAGTGTCATCGGTGATGTAAATGCAGACATCCTGCAGTTGACCACAATGGCTTTGAGTGTGGGTTATGTGTGCAAAAGCCTCATGTCGATAATGTACTCTGTAGACACGACCTCTGTACAGAACATGTTTTCTTTCACTTAAAGCTGCAGAGACATTTGTGTGTATGCTTTTGAACCATACTGTCAGTTTCTTTGCACATAAGTTTGATCTGTCACCACAGCATGTACGCACAAATGTGTACACATAGGGGGGTGAATATGTGTGAGTTCTTCTAACAGTCTGACTAGTGTTATGTATGCTGTGACTGTAGAAGGGCTCAAGGGAAATGTATGAAAATTACAGTAGCTTCAGTCCTCTCCATGACTCCGGCTGATCACAGGTTGTCAGAATTTACCCAAAAGAGATTTAGTTCTGAATAAGAACCTCTCATGTCAGCCACAGTAAGTAAAGCTGTCTTGTCTTTTTGTTGTGGAGACATATCTGAATTATGTGTTTGCGTATTGGTCTGGACGTGCAGCACTTTATCAACCTTCACTGTGGTTAGACAGTTGAAATAACATAGAGGTGAGAGATGCATTGTGCAACTGGCTCCGTCCTGCAGAGACTGTAAAAATAGCAGGCTGAAGGGTTTGCTCCTTTTAATCATGACAATTATTGAGATAATCGACGGACAGTTTATCATGATCAAACAGTCGTTTTCTGGATGTGCCTAGAGAAAAGTGTTATGACTTATACGGGGCAGTAATTGCATCGAAGGACAGGAAGCACATATTTAGTGACAAAAAAAAGATTTTGTCTATAAATATGTTTTATCAAGATGTCTTCAAGTGGCATCACTTTAACTTGGTCTGGGTCTAATTCAGTAAAAAACGAATTCACAGGCCATTTGCAATTTCAACAACTAATGGGCTATGATTAATCCATTACAAAAATAATGATTAGTTTGCAGCCCTAGTGGTGACATCTTGACTGAAACAAAAAATAACTGAAAAAGCCACAAGCGTATTCAAAGATCAGCACTTTAGTTCAACAAGACTACAGGTCTACCGTAGTTTGTCATATTTACCTCAGATAATCATTAGGGGTTATGTTGCATGCCCGTGTCTTTCCCTTTTCTTCCAGACCCTTTTGATCATACAGGTGTTCTCTGTGTAAAATGATAAGGTTCTGTTTATACTCCTATGATATATAGAAGTAAACCAGTCTGTATGGCTGCTGCTTGTGTACTTGTTTTGCCAGCAGTAACATCTGTTTGTTTATTTATGCATCAAAAGAGTCAACAGTGCATTTCTCCTAAGAAGACACTTCAGGTTTTTAGCAGAAAAGGGCTGCCTCCATGTGTAAGTGTGTTAAATGAGTATGGAAGGGAAGTTACATTCAGCTATTCAAGGTGACTGTCAACTTTATCAAGACGTTATTGAACTCTTTTCTTGTGCTAAGTAAATTCTGGCCTAGGTGTAGATATTTACCCCAACAACCACGGATGTTCAAGCCATACTAAATCAAATATATTGTTGAATCATATAAGGTTGACATTGGTGTCACAGTTTAAGACACTGGCAGCCCTCGTGTCTTGAATGACCACATAAAAAAATAAATAAAATCACTTTATAACATACGCAGGAAGCCAGTCACTTTCTTTTTGTCATTTTCATTGTATTTGCATTTTGGAATCCATCTTGACCCACTAATTTGAATCCACTGATGAATCGAATGGATCAGACCGATGACATGGCAGCATTGTGGTCTGGGGGTGGAAGCCAAAGACGAATCGCCCAACAAACCAAAACAAACAACACAATCTGGCTTGGTTAGGGAGCACAATGCATCAAAACAGCCCTTATGCTGCCTTGCCTTCACAAACTTTTAAATGATGACTGAAAAGTGTTTTTAGAAGGCTTTGGAGTGGTGTAAAGTGTGTACATGTTGTAGTAAGCCTACGTTATCACAGCAGGAGATGAGACTTGGATCCTGAGGCGCTCACTCACTCCCCGCCCCTCCCTTAGTGTGTGTGCTGCTAAAACAGGCCATACTCCATGTTTCCCTGCCTACATTTGGCTATTTTGCCCCACTGACTCACACACGATGATGGCCAAAGCATCATTTGCCAGTCGGAATACATGAAAAAAATCATATATAATTATATATTATCTTTTTTTAGTTTCGTATGTGTTAAGCCATTTTGAAGTAATACTTATAAAAGTGAAAGGTAATGTTCATTTTGAGCCTTACCTTGAAGTCTGCTCAGATGTAAATCCAAGATGTGCCATGGAAAGAGTCATGTTAGAATTAGAAAGCATCATTTGAGATTGGAGAAATTACTGTGTGTAACAAAAGACCTCATCTTCTTAGATGTGCATGTATTTTTAAAGAATATTAATCCATGATGTGGCTAGTGGCTGTAACATTAAGAGGACTGACATTCAAAGTGCACTTTCAGCAGTTTGCCTTTAATGGTGTTTCCGCAGCTGTCACCTCTATTAGTCGAGTGTTTGGTTTGCCGTCATGGCGAATAAAAATGTACAAGACTCTGTTAACAAGACAAAACTACCGCCCAAATTTAAGATCGCACACAGATGCACTGCTTTAAAACCAAGTGTGGTTGAAGAGTCACAATGAAAAACCATCCAAAGTTGGAAATTATTTAGTGGAGTGACTCTTCAGTTGCCAGCAACAATAACAGGTTAAACTCGCTCGGCAAAGCACATCTGGCCAAATGTTACAGACAAGTGTGAAGTTCAAGTGAATAGTGGATGTATTCTGAGGATCATTATAGCACCCAGTCATAGGAAGAAGCCTCCCTTTTAGGCCCATGAAATCTATCTGCCAGTATTATATATCCCTGACACGATAATTACTATATCGGCTTATTGTTCTAAATATGATGGATGGAACAATAATTTTACTTTTTCTTAGTACTAATGGGAAACGTTTTGTTATTTTTCTGTTCTATGATGAGATTTGAGCTGCAGAAGATTGAATTATGACCTTCTCTTCTCATTGTACACATAGAGTAGCTACTAAGTTTATTTATTTATTGTATTATTATTTATTGTACATTTATAATATGTTTGGAGGATAATTTTGCTTTATGGTTTGGTTTCAATATTATCGTTTATTGTCTATATTTAGTTCAACAGTATATAGGACTTTAAAATGTGTTATCGTGACACTCCTAATATTATAGTAAATATTCTTCATTATTTTGAGTTATTCATTTGAATCTCTTTGAATATCCTATTTTTCTTAATCCACAATACACAGACAATGAAGTAAAACGATCATCTATTAAATAATGCAATAGATAAGTAAATGCTTTAAAACTGAGCAGGCTAGAGTGGGAAA